TGTCTTTTTTTACAAAAAAAGGAACCAGTACAACATGCATTAAATAAGGCAACAATATCATCTGCATTTCAAAATGCCAGCTACTTTTTCCGTCTTAAATCTGCCTTATTAACAAGTTCTTCAATTTAAAAAAGTTTTTTTTAAAAATGATGCTTGCAACAGTTTCATTGGGTTACAACAGTATGCATGGCTCAAGGACTCTGTCATCACCATGTTCCTTACTGGACATGTATTGGTGTTACAAATATTGCCTAGGGGTAGCCACCTTCAATACTGGAAATGACCATTCTCTGTGGAAAAGAGAAGGGCATGCCAAACCTCTGCAGGAATAGCTGCTGCAGCTTCCCTACAGTCCTTTGTCATTTCTTAACAGCAAAACAAGGTGGGGAGGACATTCCCATTTCCCAGTATTTGTAACATCCTGTTATACAGTCTTTAGGTTCCGAAATTTAAGCCGGGGAGCTGAGCAGAGAGCTGTTAAAATATCTAAAAATAAAATGTTATGCTCCTGTCATCGCCAAGTCTCTCTGCTCCCCTTCTGTCCTAGTGGCTGGTGCCGCTCCTTCACAGCGATACAGCGGGGGATGCAACAGTGTGCCTTCTCTTCTCCCCCTTAAATAATTAACTCGGCAAACACAGACATCCGTCCCTGCGAAGCGCCATGTCCAAGGAACCGTTTGTGTTGCTAAAGGATGTCTGGCTCAAGCCAGCAGGGGTTGCTCTGTACAAACCAGGGGCTTTATCTTTTGTTAGGCTGAACACAGGGAAACTAAAGGCAAGGATTTTTGCTGTGCTGATGACCCCGCAGTAAAGGAGATTAATTTCCCTCTAAGTGGTGCAAAAACTCTCTCTCTCAGCTATTCCCTGTTACTGAAGAAAAGTCATTTGAATTCTTTTTGCTCCCTTAAAAATACCACGGATTTAGAAAATTTGCTAACAAAACTAGGGACAGAGTCAGTTGTCTAGATGCATAACCAATGATATTGTCAGTTCTGATTAATCAGCGATCCTTGCCAGGCTTATGGCCAATTAGAATTTACCATAATAAGGAAGTGACAGCGGGTGTTGCTAAGCAACAGCTGTCTATAGAGATAAAGGAGCCAGACACATTTAGATGCTACTGTGGATTTCGACAGCAGTACGTCAAAACAACACAGGCGTCTGCCCAGTGGAAAATTTTTACAACCACAGACCAGGCACCAGTGTGTGGAGTGTGTTTACTTTTTAAGCATAAAATTGTAAAGGAAGAGACTCCCCCACCCCTTAACAAATTTTAACCTGTTGAGGTCTTAACCTGTCATTTAACTTAAGCGGCAGAGTTTCAATGGGACACAACTTTGTCACAGCACAAATTGAGTCTCTTCCCCCCCCAGAAAAATGTACAGAGAAATCAGTGTCAGCACAACCTTGCTCAGACATCTTCCCCCCCCCCCAATCAGTCTGAAGAGTCTGCCTCCCAACTCCATCCTGTTCCAGAGATTTATTGCCATAAAGGTGCACTTTCAAGTCTTCAAAGCACTTCTCATTCAATCCCTTGTTGGAATTCTTACCACAACTCTGACCTTTTCCACACACAGGAGTTACTCCCAATTTTCTTGGGAGTCAATCCACAGGCATTAGAATAGGTTTGGGCAGTTTTACAGTTGTGGAGTCAGTTTATTTTCTTCCACACCGGGCTTAAATAATGAAAATTCTCAAGGGAGGGTGATGTTGTCATTGGTGTCATTATCAGTGGGGTCACAGTGCCCCTCTTATTTTTTTTTAAACAGCCCTAAATATCAAAATAGTGCTGTAGCTTTTTATTCACATGACATAAGGCATGGGCGCTTTTTGTTATTCTTGATTGTGCCATCTGTTGTTTTATTGGTTTTATCACTTTTATTGTTTTATGAATCTTATGTTGTAAGCCACCCTGAGACCACTTGTGGGATAGGGTGGAGTATTTATTCAATAAATAAATAAATGTGTTGTAATGATAGCTGAAGCAGGTTCTCTGAATTCCCAGCTTTCATTTTTTAAGAAGTAAGCCATTATGCTTCCCTAAGGGAGATATCTCCACAAGAGAAGAGGCTAGAGACTTGCTTTTTTCAATGAAAGCTGGGAATTCAGAGAACCTGCTTCAGCTATCATTACAACACTAACGCATTATATCAATATTTTAGGGCCTGTCTGTGGGAGAGAGGGAGTGATTTAACAGTGACAACAGTACAATTGTTGAAAAGTGGGCTGGAGATGGATGGGAGTTGGCGAGACAAACTGATAGAAACACTGTGCACTAGGAAAAAGCCAACTCGAAATCAGCTTCCAGAAAAAGACTGGGGTAATAGTGGTCTCAAAAGAGCTGGGGTGGGGGGAATGAAATGAAAACTAAAGGCAGAAAAATGTGCATGGAAGTCAGGGGATAAACCAAATCAGTATGAGGCCAGAACCTGTTAAGTCGCTCACTTAACAAAGTAGTCGGAGAGTGATTCAGCAAAGATTCAGCTTTATTCATCAACTCGAACACAACTCAAACACGGATCAACATCTGATAGCCAGAACAGCTTTTACATTGCAGCTGTTCTGCTTTTAAACTCTCCCGGCTAATGTAGCCACGCCTACTGTACAAATACCAACCAATAAGGTTGCATCCATAAGGACCAATCATGGACGTTCCTGCTCAGGGAGCTTGCTGACAAGTGATTGGTTGGTTCTTCCTGGGCTAGCAATGCGATTGGATGGATTTGGATCCTAGCCCAGGACGAAGCTTAACATAGCATTTCAATTAGATGTTTTTCATAACACATTATGCATTCAATGGCAGCTTAAAGGCTCAGTTACAGAACCAATGGAAAAAAAACATGCGGAAAAGCCCTCTATAAAGTTCATCAGCAATGTTATCCCTATATAAGAAAGTGTTATCCCCATATAAGAAAGAGGTAAGCCAGAGAAAAAGTGGCTTGCCTAAACTGAAATCATACAGAGGTAAAGTTCAAAGTCCCTACAGTACACTAGTTCTGTACGGGGGAGGGAAGAATTCACATTCTTAGGGGTTCATTCAAGACAAATGTGAGAGAGTGACTCAACAACAATCTGCTTGATGGAGAGCAAAGTTCTTTTTCTATGACACTTACCATATAAGGGTATGTTAATGAAAGGGTTATGTTATTAATGAAAGCAAAGGTTAATTGCCATTTTCCCCCACAGCCCAACTCACACAGAGGAATATTTCCTATTGGTAGAAGTTTAAGGGTCAGATTCCAAGTTAGTGTAAATAGGTGTTAAGCTAATGGAACTAGGCTGGTATTAGGGGTTTGTTCGCAGTATATACCAAGCCGAATAAAAACAAAAAAAAATTATCAGTATTTTTCAGATGGCAGTAGTGGCACACCTCCACAAGTGAAGCTACAGATGTAGCTGAATCCAAATAAAAGCTTATATTATTCGGCTTTTATTAAGGCTCAGCTTCACTTGCTGAAGAAGGGTGAGTTCACCCACCTTCTGGGTGGCCTGGTGCTGCTTTCAAGTTTTTTGTGTATGGCTTGGATTTGCAAAAACCATTTAAAGGAAAAGTTCCCTTTAAATGGCTTTTGCAAAGCAAAGCCATCTGTGTGACACTGGAGAAGGGATGCTCTTTAAATGGCTCCCCTTCCTAAATTGTACCACGGTGGTGGCACACCTCGACTAGTGGCACACCTCTTTCATTAATGGAGGCTTGCTACCAAGGTGGCTTTACTCCGAAGAAGGGAGGGGAGGCTCTTTAAATGCTTCCCCTTCCTGAGTTGTGCCACCTAGGCAGCACAACTCCGGAGAAGGGAGGGGGGCTCTTTAAATGCCTCTCCTTCCCAAGTTGCAGGAAGCCATTTCAGCCCTCCCTTTTGCTCCCCTCCCACGAGAGGGGAGCGAAACTGAGGGGTTTATCTGACAGGCAGTGCTGTTCGGTATAAATGGGAGGAAGCCGCGCAGCTTGGGGATCCAGTACCCATTATACCCTACAGGGAATGGTCCCCATAGAGTATAATGGAGTCAAATAAATTTGGCAATACTGGTTACTTTTCGAATCCCAATACAATACCAATATTGGGATTCAGGATTGGGATTCTTTGGGTTTGGTATGCCTAAACCAAAACAATACCAGATTTTTTTTCTGTGCACACTCCTAGCTGGTATATAATACATCAAACCATGAGCCTTACTGTGCTACATTGCAGAGGCATGAGTTGTGATACTGAGTCCTGCATATAACGCTATAGCCACTCTGCCATCACCCAGAAGGGTCAAGTTCATCTCACGGGTATGGCTGCAACTCGCTGGATCACTGCCATATACTAGAATTTTTTCAGGTTATGTATCTGAAGAATTGTGCATGCACACAAAAGCTTATCTTGTATTCAGTTGCATAGTCGAGTCCGACTCTTCGCGACCCTATGGACCACATCCCGCCAGGCCCTCCTGTCTTCCATCGTGCTCCGGATTTTCTTTAATTTTATGTTCGTTGCCTCGATTACACTGTCTAACCATCTCATCCTTTGCCGTCCCCTTTGACCTTCAGTCTTTCTTAGCATCAGGGCTAAGTGCTCCCTTCTCATTTGGTAGCCAAAGCTTATACCCAGAATTAAACTTTATTGATCTTAAAGGTGCTACTGGACTCAGACTTTGTTCTATTGCTTCAGACCAACATGGCTACCCATCTGTATACTATTAGCTTCTTTGCAATCTGCATAGTCCAGAGTTTGCTGGGTTCTGCAGGAGTATGAACATCTAACACATAGCCAAGTAATGTTTTGACCATCCCACCTTATATTCTGGTAAGCAGTCTGGTGTACTAAAAACAAACAAAATACTCCTCCCTAAAAAGAGCAATGACTTATACATAGGCAAAAGTGATGAGGTATTACTAGTCTGGCAGGGGATGATTAGCAGTCATTCATTGCACAATTAATTACAACACAGCACACTGGGGAAACATCTGAGGGGGGAAGCTTCTTGTACATGGTATAGCAACACCTGCAGACTCTTACCTCTTTCATCTTAGCAGCACTGAAGGCTGGGGTCAACAGGCTTCGAACTTCTTTCCATCTCTCGTCACGCAGGATGAGGATGCTGTCTGCAAGTGGCTTAGATGTTACAGCTGGAACCTAGTTCAAGACAAAGACAGCAGATGAGTATTAAAAAAAAATCCACCATAATAATGAACAGGCTAACTATTGGCAAACAAAAATGCGGGAAAAGTCAGATTACATATTACAAAATTTTAAAAATGGTAATATTCAGAATGCAATATTCTTAGAGGATGGCCATGTGGCAGGTTCTCATGCACTTGACTCAGTGCTTTGTGTGACACTTGAAATGCAGAAAAGGTGTATTTTTTCACACGGGACTTGGAACAGATAGCACCACTGATGTTGATCAACTAATAGCTCTGATTCTGGCATCTTGCTGGCCAAGGGATTAAGGCAGGTTGACTGCCATTGAATAGAATTGCAGTCTACCATTATTTCTGCTGGTGAAAATGCTATCTTAAAACAAGTAAAAATACTGGAGTTTAAAATTCAGACTTTGTGGAGACATGCCAAAGCTGCAGTGACCAAAGTGTGAGACCCTCATATTAAGTTCCACCGAATCCATCCAATTTCTCTGTATTCATTTGAGGAACTGAACTGTGATGATCCAACATCTCAGTGATGCTTTGTAACAAAACTTGGTATTATTGAACCTTTGGAGGAGGAGGAGGAGGAGCAGTTGGTTTTATACCCTGCTTTTCACTACCTGGAGTCTTGGAGCGGCTTACCTTCCCTTCTTCTCCTCACAACAGACACTCTGTGAGGCAGGTGGGGATGAGAAAGTTCTGAGAGAACTGTGGCTGACCCACTAATTCTCCAGATTAGAGTCCATTGCTCTTAACCACTACATCACATTGGCTCTATTAAAGGATCATGGCAATTGAGGTAACAAATACAAATTATAAACCAAAAGAGAGATAGAAAAATCAAAATACTACATATCAGGCTCAAGGTTTCTCTCACACATACAAGCTACGTTCTTGGTCCACCTCATGATCTGATGGCATAGGTTTGTTGCCCAAGAAAGATCATGGTCTACTCTCCAAGAATACCATAGGAAAAGTAAGGCTAAAGTGCAGATGTTCTAACAAAGGCCAATTACTTCTAGGAGAAAACCATAAAAATTAGGGTGACTGGAACATGCAGTAGTTTCCTTTACAACTGCTTGGAACAAATGAACACCGCTTAATATAGAAATTAGGGGAAAACAGTTTGCACAGATAAACAGAATATCTATAATTAGTGACTGACGAAATTGCCTAACCATAATTAGCTCAGTCTTTCCAAGCTTACTTGGAGATTGCTTCTACAAAACCAAGGATCCTCCCTCCAAGAGTTCCTCAAAACTTTTTTTAAATGATCCAGCATCCACCAGTTCTCCGCTGCCAGCTTCCCTCTTCGTCCCATCTCTCACACTTTCCTACATTTTTCAAATTGCAAATCATGGAGGGTGGAGAATCAAGGATGGCAAAACCAGTGACAAAGAATACAGACAAAACCAATGGCTCATCCTCAATTCCAATATTCTCTGTTGGCAGTGTAAGCTTCTCAGCATGCTCAGCGGGTTTATTTCTATAAGAATTCGGAAACTTCTGAACCATTGTGAATAAAGCCAAC